GAAATGTCAAAGCATACTGAGCATCTTTCTCTTTGACACCATGTCTGAAATCCCACGTGATCTGTCAAATACTAATGCATGAAAATCCTAACCTCAAAAAAATCACCCGTTATATCCAATTTCTCGATGTTAATAAATTGTAGACATCGAAGGCAAACATCGAAATTTGAACCGATATTATCGATGTTTCAAAAACATCGATGCATCGTTTGCATCCCTAAGCGTACCAGACACGATCTATCTTATGGGATTCGCGTGTTAACGAAAACTCACCATCGCATGGCTCTCTATCAACAGTAAATTTGATATGCTGCTACGTACGTCAACCTACGTTTACGCTCCGTCGTTGACTAACTGAGCTCTTACATCGGATACGGTGTTTGTTTGTTCGTTTATAATTCTCCCTTGCAATGTTTTATGCTTGTATATCTCCATGTTTTCCAATATGTTCAAACGCCGTCCTTTAAGCTGTACGTGGAGGAGTTTGGCTGCCTTATTAATTTTCATTGGTGTACATTTATTTTCGAACATATGATTTGCGAAGTTTGATTCTGCTGTGAAGCTTGGTTTTTGTGTCCTCTTATTGTAGTCTCTTATATGTTCTCGGATTCACACGTTAATTTGTATACACCCTGCTTATCTAGAGTGTCCTCTTCGTTTGTGCTGTTGTTCAGTATCCTTCCGACGTTGTTCCTGGTTCTGAACGATGTGCGAATGTTGAATTTTTGAAAAACCTTGGCCAGTTTGTATGTCATTTTACCCGCGTAAGTTAACACTGCCCAAGCAGTATCGTTGTTTTCTTTCTTGTCACTACTTTTTCGTTTCGAGTCCTTCCTAATTTTGTCCACCAGATCTTTTTTGTATCCATTGTTTTTGACAATAGCATATATTGTGTCTAGCTCTCTCCTGTGTGCTTCCTTAGTTAATAGGGTTCGCTCAAGTCTAGTTAATAATTGTCTAAATGCTGCGTTTTTGTGTTGTTGTGGGTGGTTAGAGATTTCATGTATTACTGTGTCGGTCGCTGTGGGCTTTCTGTATATCTCGTATTCCAGTCTTTTGGTGGTCTTGTTTATTTTAGTAGTTAGATCCAAATAGTTGAGTTTTCCTTTCTCTTCCTTATCCATCGTTAATGCTATAGTTTTGTGTTGTTCATTAAGGTAGTCTAATATCAGCTCCTCTTTGTCCCCCTTATTATGCATATTATGTCGTCCACATATCTAGCGTAGAAGCTGACCCCTAAATTGGTTGTGAGATGCTCCATATATTTCTCCTCTAGGCTTTGCATGAACACCTCCATGAGTATAGCCGATGTTGGGTTACTCATTCCTAGTCCACTTATTTGTCTGTATATTTTGTTGTTAAATCGGAAATAATTTTGATTTATCGTAGTCTTCAAAGTATTGATTATTTCTTTTGCGATTTTCTTTTCCGTTTTGCCGTGTAATATTTTAAATAAAACATCCATTGTCTCTGTTGTTAGTATTGACGGGTAAAGATCCTTTATGTCAAATGATACCAATTTAGTATTATTAGTGATGTGTAGGGGTGTCATCTTTTCTATAAGCTCTGCCGAGTTTGTGACTATATATTTATTGGGTAACTCTAGTTTGTTCTTTAGTATGGTCTTCAGGTATTTCGAGAGTTTGTATGCCGGAGCCGATCAGTAGTTAATAATCGGTCTCATCGGGTTACCTGGTTTATGTATTTTAGGTAATGAAATCATTGGAGGGGCCCAGGGGTTCATTGATGTTAGTCTTCCTGCTTCATTCTCCTTTATTAACGTTGTCGCCCTTTTTATCGCACTTTTTATTGCCACTTGGTACTAATCGGTGGGATCATTTCCTATTTTCTTGCAGCCTTTTTCTATTATTACGTGTTCCGTTTTTTCTATGTATTCATTTTTATTGATCAAGGCAGCCAAACTCCTCCACGTACAGCATAAAGGACGACGATTGAACATATTGGAAAACATGGGGATATGCAAGCAGAAAATATTTCAAGGGAAAATTATAAACGAACAAACAAACACCGTATCCGATGTAATACTCGAACCACTCAAGATGCTGTACGAAAAATAGGAGAAGACCCCTGAAAAAAAACGCCAACGCGAAGATACATACCTACGCCGCAGAGACCAAGAAAATGAAAATAACGGATTTCTATCTGCCGGCTAAAGCAAGCAACGCAATACCTGCTAAATAACGGAACATAAACCGACGCAATCACGAAAACCAAGAAAATAAAAATAACGGATTTCGACCCGCCGGCGAATACAAGCAACCATAAAGCACCTACCTGTGAGATAATGAAACAAAAGCGGGGTATTCATGACCTAATGACAGTTAAAACAGATAGTAACACGAATACATAAAAAGCGGAAGGAAACACGAATTATTCAGAACGAAAAATTACACTGAAGATGGCACAATGCCCAAACCGGTTTGTCTTCAAACCGAATTTGACAAGGGATGGCAGAAAATCGTTCCACAGTACATCATACTCCTACCCTGTCGGAAACACAAACAACCAAAAAGAAATTATGAACTCCTTGAAAATCCGTGGGCACCGGATGCTACTTTTAAATTACCGCCTTCGACCAAGCGTAATTTGAAATTTCAATATATTTCAGCGTTTCAGTACCGATATTAAGATTAATATCTGTTACATGAACGCTCCATACTCTCTTTTCATTTACAATTGCGAAAGAGTTGCATTGGGTTCAGTTTATCAAGATTGTTCCGTGAAATCGTTAGCGAGTTTCCATACAAATTTTGATAGTTGATTTACAAAGTTTACTTATAATGCATTTATAGGGTATGATAAATACCCTTATTAAATAGGTTTCTTTACAGGAATTTTTTTCAATGTACCTACGGAGTATAGTCTAACAACATTCCTAGACGCTCTTAATGCTTGCAATCAATCAGTACACCTAAAGATATACCGATTCTTGCACATTGACCCAACACTTTATGAGAGAGTTTTTTTCCAGAGGACGCTTCTCTTAAGCATAAATTATATTTACGAAGTAAAAGTGGGGAACAAAGATTACATGTTTTAGCTTTAGTAAACATTCACATAGATAGTTACGAACGAAGACATATTGAATACAATTTTTTCTTAAAAAAAAAAGATGAAGTAGTAGAGAAGTGTTATTTTTTAATTTTTCATACATACATATGTAAAAACTCGAAATTATTAAAAAATGTAAAATAAAGACATATTGCACCACCGAAACGCATATTTGCTGGAACTGATTAAATCGAAAAAAAATAAAGCACCACTTCCTAAACTTCCCCATCAAATCGCATCAAAATTTCCTTGAAAGTTGGGTAATAAAGGGAATGGTGCGTTATACTAAAGGCGATCTTTTGACTTAAGCAATTATTCCTTATTGCCACAGGTATATTTATATATAGTTTTAATCATTCTTTTTTTACTTTTTTTAGCAACTTCATCAAAAGATGATCTTTATCGGCGAATAGGTGGGCGATGTTCCACGAACAATATGAAAGTGGTTTTCAAAGTGTGCTGTGCTCCCGAGGAGAAAAACAAAACATTATTAAATACTGGTCTTAGCAGTGGAACATCCTCGGGTGGTAGCAGCAACGCAGGCAGTGTTGGTATAGGCATCAACTCGGCCGACGGCAGTGGCATGACAACTGGTATTGATAATTCGGCCAATGTAGATGTTGTCAATACTCAAAGTAATTTGAATCAACATCAACATATAAATAACATTAATACAATCGGTATGAATGGTGTTAACACTGGCTTAATACCGATCGGTGGTGTCAATATAGGCATAAGTGGCGGCGTGGGCACAAACAATGGTGGAATGGTGCAGATGAAGCCGATGAATGGCGCTAGTGGAACGTCAATCAATACAAATATTGATCAATTTAATCGTATACCAATACAAGCTGGCGGCATTAATGTTATGGGCAACAATATTGGTGGGCTTGGCGGTATTGGCCTTGGTGGCCATGGCGGCGGTGGCATTATGCTAACGCCCGGCGGTCATGGAGGTATAAATATGATATCCAGTGGTGGAGGTATTGGCATCGGACAGTATCCTGGTCATCCCGGTCAGACTGGTATTCGTATAAATAATGTAGCGTCTCAGCAACATCATGCAACTCATAAAAATAATAATAATAATGGTAAGGATGCCGGAGCGGGTAGTGTTGGTGTTAGTGATGATGTTAGTGTTGACGGTGGTTCGCTTAAGAACATAAATTTCGGTGATGCCCAGTTTCTACCACCATTCATTAATACAAACCATAGCAATATTGTACAAAGTACAATTAACTGGCCAGGATGGGGTAGAGGCGGTACCATACATTCTATAAACCATAACATAACTACTACCACAAGAAACGATAATAATATAAATGAGAAAAACAATAATTATTATTCACCGTCCCATAGACCGATTAACAATAAAACTAATACTAAAAGTAAGTAAAAAACGAAAAGCAATACAATATTACAACAAAACCATTCAACCACCCCGAAAATTCCACCTGGAGAAAATGCCCCACCTACAAAACCTCTGTACAACACACCTGTACATAAATACTAAATGCATTCATTTACATACACATACAAAATCTATTTTTTTTGTTCACTATTTTTTATATCTTGGTTAAATTGTTTTGTAACTCCAAATTTATAACAAATCGTTACCAAATTTTAAATAACTAATCGGCTAGAAACCAAATGCAACCTATAAAGGGCCCCAACTAATTATAATTATTTTTGCAAATAAATTTAATATAAATTGTAGTTAAAGTTACTTCTCCACCTGGATAAGGCCAGAGGCGGTCGGCCTCTGAGGATCCCAAGCACCTCTATATATGGCCACACAGAGCATGCGGTGGAGTTTGCCCACAGTGAAGCCAGAGCTTACTTGTTTGGCTCCTGAGAACTCAATATCCATCTCAATTTAGATTTTGGGGTATGAGACGATGGCGCAAGTGTTGCTCTTATTGGGCTATTTCACACTAGAATGACAGAACAGTTATTCTCACGGTTTCAAACTGGATAAAAGTAGCAGAAGCAGAACAAAATGTGTATACGTATAGGACGTTTGAATGTATTTGTAACTTTGCGCTTGAAATTTACCCTGCAGTACGGGGGAGCTACTACAGGACTGCTGAATCGGTAGCTACGTGATAAACTCCGTCAATTACCGACCGACTACTTGCAGTGTATTTCATCGATTACTTTTACAAGGCAATGTCCTAGGCGGTAGTCACCATCGGATCTCTCTGCACTACCGGGAGTTACTAAAGTAGTCACTTGCGTGATTTATGGGCGCCCTCTATCGTAGGTTTTCGCTATCTGGTTCGACGCTGCACTACCGTGTGCACTACCTCGAGTTAATAGAGTAGCTACTTACCTAGGAATCGGTGCAGCGGCTCAAAAGTAGCGATTGGCTCCAGCAGTACTGGAGGGTACGTAGCGGCATTTTTGTAGTTGCGCATGTGTTAGTGCGCTGCAGCAGAACTGCCACTTTAATGCTGGGTAGAAGCTGGAATAACTTTTTGAGAAACTTTACCTCACCGCACTGCCTCTCTTGCCCACAAACAGAGTTGTTGACCATGGACATGCTCTTTTCAACAAACGTCCCTGCAGTACGGGGGAGTGACTACAGGACTGCTGAATCGGTAGCTACCTGATAAACACCGTCAATTACCGACCGACTACTTGCAGTGTATTTCATCGATTACTTTTACAAGGCAATGTCCTAGGCGGTAGTCACCATCGGCTCTCTCTGCACTACCGGGAGTTACTAAAGTAGTCACTTGCGTGATTTATGGGCGCCCTCTATCGTAGGTTTTCGCTATCTGGTTCGACGCTGCACTACCGTGTGCACTACCTCGAGTTAATAGAGTAGCTACTTACCTAGGAATCGGTGCAGCGGCTCAAAAGTAGCGATTGGCTCCAGCAGTACTGGAGGGTACGTAGCGGCATTTTTGTAGTTGCGCATGTGTTAGTGCGCTGCAGCAGAACTGCCACTTTAATGCTGGGTAGAAGCTGGAATAACTTTTTGAGAAACTTTACCTCACCGCACTGCCTCTCTTGCCCACAAACAGAGTTGTTGACCATGGACATGCTCTTTTCAACAAACGTCCCTGCAGTACGGGGGAGTGACTACAGGACTGCTGAATCGGTAGCTACCTGATAAACACCGTCAATTACCGACCGACTACTTGCAGTGTATTTCATCGATTACTTTTACAAGGCAATGTCCTAGGCGGTAGTCACCATCGGCTCTCTCTGCACTACCGGGAGTTACTAAAGTAGTCACTTGCGTGATTTATGGGCGCCCTCTGTCGTAATTTTTCGCTTTCGCTGCTTACGACTGGTTCGACTCTGCACTACCATGTGCACTACCACGGGTTAATAGAGTAGCTACTTACCTAGGAGTCGGTGCAGTAGCGGTTCAAAAGTAGCGATTGCCTCCAGCAGTACTGGAGTGATATGTTTGATCACCTCATGCGAGACTAGAGCATAGATCATAAGACCACCTGCACATAAGGCTATGTAATACTCCAAGGTCAATAGTAGTTTGCTATTTTATATGTATGCTGACTTTCGCGTGCATTTAAAGAGAAAGGTCTCCCTGATATGAAAGTCATTTAGATTTTCTAAGTGTTTGGTTAGAAAGGAAGTGATCTGAATTTTTGCTCCTTTTAGGTACGAATAGAAGTAGACTTGCTCTCAATATTTGACTAAGATTTTTGATATGATCCTACAGTAGGGCTGCCATAATCCTGACCCATCGACCAGGACACTTATCATCCAAATCAAAAACGAAGATACAATTGAATATGGTTCCAATATATTCCCTACAAGGACAGTTGCTTTGGTTCTAATATTATAAGCATTGTAGTTTTGTGGCACAATCCCTAGAGCTCAATGAGTGATGATTATGAAAAGTTCTGAATTTATTTTTATCATAAAGGAAAAAATGTCTCGTGACGGTGACGTAATTTGAAAAAAAGCGGCGCACATAAGTGGTCTTGAAGGTTTGCCTTACCACCATTAGCAAATTTCCGCATATCATACAACGCGCTTTGCCATTTTGTACATGCATAACCTACAGATAATTTAGGATATCTTAATTGAAGCCATTCTAAAAGACTTATGCAACATGGACTGAAAAAAATGCTTTCCTGCATGCTTCTTAGAAAGGTGTTTCCTACTTACAATTTACTTAGAATTACAAATAAGATTCAATAAGCATTTTAAGTCTAAATAAAACAATTTAATATGAACCTTAAATGAATTCCTTAAAGTAGTATGCGTTTTATGAATTAAGAAACACTTCTTCAAAAGACGTCCCACAAAAGCCCTTCTGAAAGCACTCTTTTGAATAGCGAAATCATAGGCCCTTCAATTTGTGCCGCTCCATCCAAAAAATTAAGGAGAAAGGAATAACTTTCAGAAGGCATTTTGGATGAGATTTTAGATCCTGAAATTATCTACTGGGTAGTACATGTGTATGACCCCTCAGCCATGTACCTGATCAGAAACTTGCATTTGTCCGACAAAAATGTTCAACATGTTCGAAAAAACGTTCCATTATCAATTTTCGACTACTACTGACAGAAAGCTATCCTTTTTTTCATAACAAAAATTTGCTAAAAATTAGAGAAGTGTCTGCATGGACCTTCATTAAAAACCAGGACAATTAAAGTGTGAACCAGGACACCAGGACAATTTGTCTAAATCAGGACAAATCCTGGAAAACCAGGACGTCTGGCAGCCCTATCCTACAGCCCTACATCAGATCATCAGTAGTATGACATGAGCATTCAGTTTGAAATTACTTACATAAGTATATTTTAGCTGTTGCAGTGACGATCCCATAGAGCAATTAATCTGTGCGTGTCCAGATAAAATCTTTAGAAATTTTTGCCAATACAGGTGGCACCAGGGACATGTTTCGGTCCGATCTGGCGAGTCTATTGTATTCTTGTGTGTAAACTTACTCATACTCATACTAGATTCATATTTTGTAACGTAAGCTCTGTTTCCGTATTTTCCAGTAAGAAACGATCCAGTAACTTGCCACTAACATAATTTCGGAGAGTAAGCCAATACAATTACACAACATACAAAGAATACGCAGCTGAGCGAATTCCCCTAATATTTACTCCCAATAAGAGAAGTATGCAAGAAAGTACGAACACGCAAAACCTGTAAGAAGTTGAAAGTTTTGTGAACAACTGATTAAAATGTTATCTTGTTAGTGTGAATTGCACAAAGCATCATGCAACCAGCTGTTTTTCTTACTGGGAAATAGTTACTAGTAATAAGTAAGAAAGTCTAAGTTCGGGCGGAGCCGAACATTAAATACCCGGCGCAAGTATTAAATATATGATTTTAACCTTTCCGAAAGATACCGCTACGTGGTATCAGTTTCGAGTAAATTAGCGTCCTTAAATTGCGAAATATTGAAGTTTCAAGCATTTTTGAAATTTACCGTTATATGAAAAGCGGCCTCAATTTTAATCCGATTTCACTAATTTTCAACGTTTTGCTTTTATGTGGCAAGCACAATTACCATACCGAGTTTGGTACAAATTGGTAGAACGGTTACCGAGATACATATATGTGATTATAAGCGGGCGGTGCCACTCCCATTTTCGAAAATTTTATCATAAACGTATTTCTTGGTAAAGAATTGTTGCAAGCATTAATTTTGAATAAATTAGCTTTAATATTTACTGATTTATGGAAGATTTCGGATTTCGCCAAATTACCGTTATATGGGAAGTGGGCGTGTTTATTGTCCGACTTTAAAAGTTTTCGGTTGTTGTTGTTGTTGTAGCAGCATACAAGTTCCCCAAAGAGTTTTTGGGGAGTGTTGTTGGAGTGACAGTCCTTGGCCAAATATAAATCTGGGTCGTTCCGGATACGTAGACCCGACTGTCGTGGGAAAAGTTTTCGGTCGTTTGGTATGCTGTAGCAAGGCTAACAATTGTGCCAAGTTTGGAAGAAATTGATGCAGCGGTTACCAAGATATACACATGTAACCATAAGTGGGCGTGGCTACGCCCATTTTCCAAAAATTTATAATATTCTTATTTTTCGTCTAAAANGGAAGAAATTGATGCAGCGGTTACCAAGATATACACATGTAACCATAAGTGGGCGTGGCTACGCCCATTTTCCAAAAATTTATAATATTCTTATTTTTTATTTTTTGTCTAATAATTATTTTAAATATAAATTTTGAGTGAATAATCTTCGTAGCTACCACAATATCGCAGTTTTCGTTTTTCTGAAAATTACCGTTATATGAAAGGTAGGCGTGGTTATTGTCCGATTTTGCCCATTTTCAATACCATCCGTCCTACGCCCGAAAGAAGTGCACGTACAAAGTTTCGTTAAGATCAGGGATGTTGCGAATGTGGAATTTTAGACATCCGCGGATGCGGATGCG